CCAAGTTATATTTTAATGCCTTGAGCAACCACTTTAAATTCCACAAGTCTAATTATTAATTTATTAAATAATGAGATAGATAATCATGTTTTGAGTGTCAAAGGCAAGAATTATTGAAATATGTTTTTTTTTTTTTTTTTGTTACATACTACTCTCTTTAATGATAGCTTCATTTTAAGTCCAATATTTATATGGTTTTTATTAATTTATATTAATACATATTGTCATTATAAAATATTTAATTTTTTTATTGAGAAAATTATTTGGTACGTGAACATGTGGATATTTATGGATTGACCCATGTGAAATGAAAATATGTGTGGCTACAAAGATCGGCCAGCACGGCTCTGCCGCCGGAAAGTAATATTTGATGGTAGCCCACGGGTCAATTGTGATCTCCTCAGGTATTGTTTTCTTTTCCAGCGAGTTCGTATTATGACTGTTATGTGAAATGGCCAAGTGTTGCAACTACTAGCAACAAATTATATTGAACGGCTAAATGAATCGACCAGTGTATTAATTAATAACAGTCGATGAATGAAATGACCAGATGAAGGCCATATGCAACAAAAATATGAATGACTATATATATACATATGCCGGCCAGTGCGGCTCTGCCGCCGCCGACGGACAGTGCTAATAATTGATAGCCGATGAGTGAAAATAATGATACTTTGTATCTGGCCATGTGAAAGATAATTAAAGTACTGATTGTGAAAAGACATTACATGGACTAATCTGGTCCTGGAAAAGCAGTGATAAAATCTCCAAATTTATTAATATTGGAGAAACGATAAATTGATATGACGGTACCAGAAGTTACCACATGATTAATGTGATATCGAAAGTTACGACATAATGGTTAAATGATATCTGGTATATTGGTAATGGAAACTACCACGTTATGATGATGAAATGATACCAGAAGCTACCACTGGATGATTGTTCAAATTGAGAAAGTGGTATCAAAAGCTACCAGTTATGGGTGATCACACGAAATAATTTCTCAATATGTTATATGAGTAAGGGGTTATATTAGATCACACTGAGATTCGAGATAATATAGATATTACAATAAAGTGCTTAAGAAGAAGCACATATGGCAAATGATTGCAGTCATGAAGTACTACACACTTATATTGTGGAAAAGCTAAATTGATATTATTATTACTGAGGAACAAGTACAAAAAGTTCATATGATTGAAATATGGAGAAGAGGCAGTACATACTCGATAAATACGAGATACACAAATATTACATAATAGAACCCATAAGGGTGCGTCTCGAGAGTATAAAACTCCATACCTCTGCCACTCATTATTGTTATATGGGTTCATAATGAGAGATCTAAAGGATCAAAAGCTCATTTTCGCTTGTCCCCTTGTGTTTCCACAGACTCTTGAAATGTGATGCATTCTTAATGCTTTTTGATAAGCTCACCAGACGTATCTGCAGATTTGAATACTTCTCTCGTTGGAGGAGATATAAATGTTTGATATACTCTTTGGTCTAAAAATCCAAGCAAACCAGAAAAAAGTTATTAAAATTCAATAGACCTATGGGCTTGTTATGAAGTTTCAATTCTGCCCAAGAAGAAAGGATGAACATTGTCATTAGCATTCTATAACCGCCTGGAAGAATGATAAATGCATCGCTTTTGTTCGCCATATCCATCATACAATCATGAATAGAATGAGTTAACATCATGCATATGGAATCTTTGACGACCCTTGTTGAAGCTCTATGAAAAGGTATGATACTTTTCACTTCTATCTCAAAACATTTTCCAGCCAATAAAAGATTATCAAAGAAAGTGATGCTAGTCCCTCCATACAGTAAATTTATTTTTTTTTTGATTTTTCACATCCCTTACTAACTGACTCACAATATCAACATTTTGAGAAAAACTTACCAGTCTAGAACCACCAAGAACACATATGGTTTTGATCGGCTGAAGAAATTTATTACCTTGCGAAGGCTCTGAAACATCCATCTATTTATTAATAAACTTAATTTTTAAAAAATTTGTAAGGCATACGATTATGATGAATGACTTGCTATTTAAATAGAAAGTTTTACAAAGCGATAAATAATTTTACTGTTTTATTCTGACAATTGCAACTGACAGATAAGGTGTTGGGTTTAAATAAATCTTATCTGTCGGCAGCTAGAAGATTCTCTGAAAATTACAGTGCAACTACTAAACTTCATTAGTGTGATTTTTCATACTAACAAAGACTAGTTTTACAAACTTGATCTTTTGAAATAATATTTTCGAGTCTATAACGTTCTTCTTCATTTTTCAAACGAATCCATAGAGACAGAAGCTCACGATGCACATACCCACTAGGATGTGTCTCAAGAATCTGGTGGATCGTTTGATCCATAGACTCCTTACTCAATCCATCCTTTATAAATGCTATTTTATCTTCTCGATTTTTGGACACGAACCCCACTGGTTTACATCGTGTGTCACAAGTCCATCGAGTGCATTTGAAGCATCCACCTAATCGTTTTGCTCTTCGTTTCTCTGTAAAAGTACTCTTACCCATACCTGGCATATATTTGTATGAATTTGGAAACTCTCCCGACAATCGAACTTTTGCTTCAATCAACCACCGAATATCGCCTGGAATACCATTAATCATTAGCACCCTCAATCTTTCTATTCGAGACTGATAAATTCTTTTTATGATAATTATTGGAAAAAATGGATAATATTTACGGATATTTGAGAATGCTAAATCCATTTGTAAATTCAGACCTTTGTTCAGAAATATTGAATGGATTGCTTAATAATTTATAGAAATGATGCTTATGCTATACAACTCTAAAAACAGAGAGTCTGTGCTACAGAAGTAATGATACGCATGTGATACGATTCTGAATTAAATATTGTGGGTCAGAATCTGCACTTGAAGTGCATTTATTGACGCCGAAAGATGATGTGATATGTTTGTGATAAATGGGTAACAAAGAATTATTGTAATATTTATTGATATAAATGATGATGATTTGCATGATTAACTGATTCTTTGTAATATGTGATACTTTGTTCTTGATAGGTGAAATTATTACTAGCTAAATATTTGTGAATCGATATTTGATCAAACTGAGTATGAAAGGAGTACGATATATATGGGCCCACTACCCCTCCATGTGTGCTACTAGATATTATGGATCCACTAGATAGCCACATATGCGTGATCTGTAACCTGAAGTTACGAGATGATTTGATTGTGTAATATGACACGTAACTTGAAGTTACGAGAAGGTTTGATCAAAGAATGACACAAGATGGCTATGAAAGAATGAAAATAAGTGTCATATGAAAGTGATGAAGCTAGTAATATAATCAGCTCATTTGATGAACTCATGAAAGAAAAATGTGCACATTACAAGTGATATGAGTTCAAAGTCCTCCTATTATATGTTGAAATCGAGAACGAAGGAGATTATGTGAACTCCCCTCAAGAACTCAATACTGAAAATACAGATCGGGGATCTGTTACGATGAGGGGGAGAATAAATTATTGAAATTTTGGAAATGATATATGCATCACACTAAAAGTGTGCAAATCATAAACTGAATGATATTGATGGTGGTGAAATATATGAAATGATATGATAGTAGAAATATACGCTGGAAGCGTTGGTATTGTGCAAATTGAAATTCCCCAAATAAGTGATGAAATGAGGCATATACATACTATCGATGAAATTAATTGATAATGAGATATCTCAATGTATTACGGAGAATAATGGAAATGAATATGTGTCGACACAAACAGATGAATAGCGCCATATAAATGATATTGATGATAATGAAATCAACTCAATTATGAATATTGAGAACTATTTTCAATAAAACCATTGAAATCGATTGATGATGAGAATGAGTTTAAGAATGAAGGTTGCACAAAAGCATGATATGGAATATTATCATAAATACCACCAGTATCGGAAAATCTGAATGAATCTATATGATATTCATGAAAATTATGGAAGTGTTATTATGATGAATATATGGAATACGCGTTGTACTTTTTTTTCCTTGGCTGAGGTTTTGTCCCATTGGGTTTTCCTAGCAAGGTTTTTAATGAGGCAACTGGGATGACGTATTCACATGAATAGTGTACTCTTTTTCCTTTATTAGGATTTTGTCCCACTGGGTTTTTCCTAATAAGGTTTTAACGAGGCATATTCATGGTACAATAAGGACTACTGGATTATTGATATGATTCCTCATGATGATACTGGAGTAGCTGTATTCTTTATCCTTCGATCAAGTTTTTTCCCACTGGGTTTTCTTGACAAGGTTTTAACGAGGCAGCACATGGATACTCCACTAATGATGATCAATTTGAGGGGGAGCAATGTTGTGCTTCCACAATGCTCAGGTTTTATCCCACCGGGTTTTACTGAGGAAGCAATGTTGTAATTTCAAGATTATCAGGTTTTGTCCCACCGAGTTTTCCTGACATGCTGAAGCAACGATACATGATGGACACAAGATATACTTGAAGATGTGCAAATTGGACTTTGTTCTAATCAGTTAAAATATGTTTAGAAATAGTCATTCAAGGGGGAGTGTTGTGAAATAATTATAAAATAATGTATGTGAATGACTATTTTGTCCCTGATGTAATTATATTATTACGGTTGTGCCATCAGAAGTTTCCTATAAATAGGAGCTTCAGTTATAATGAAAATCGTACCTAAGAGAAACATTTTTTCTATTCTCTCTCTTTATCTCTAGTTTTATAACATATATATATATATATATATATATATATATATATATCCCTAATGGTTATCAATCTAATAAACATTTGTTCAAGTAAGATAATAGGAAAAACCCGAACAGTTTAAAGATAATTCAGTTCTAAAGTATATGTTCATAATGTAACATACAAAGCACACATGCATATTTAAAATGGGTCCATATTTTTAACTGAAATATTATGGTTTTAAAACACATAAAAGTGCACAGATTGAATCTACTCCTTAGCAAGAATGTCGTAAAAGACCTCGGGCTTCTTGTACTCTGATTTGCATATTTCCTGAAGACCAAAAATAAGTTTCCCCATCACAAAACTCATTTTCTCAAAATAATAATAATACTATTATTATTATTATTATTATTATTATTATTAGGGTTAATTGTCAATAAAACCTTGACCTTTTCACTTTTGGCAATTTAATCCAAACTTCTAGATAAATGCAAAATAATCTCAGCCTTGTATTACTTTTGCAAAATGGACTTAAAACCCGTCGGACAAGGCTGAGATCCGGCGGACATTGCTTTGTTAGAAGTCGGTTTTAAGTCCATTTTGCAAAAGTAATACAAGGCTGAGATTATTTTGCATTTATCTAGAAGTTTGGATTAAATTGCCAAAAGTGAAAAGGTCAAGGTTTTATTGGCAATTAACCCTTATTATTATTAGTAGTAGTAGTAGTAGATAGTCAAAACTTACTTGTACAGCCGACGCTATGTAAATCAAGAGAGATTCAGACCATGGTTTCCCAATAAATTGGAGGCCAATAGGCATGCCACATCTATCATAACCAACCTTCCACCACAAACAATTTTAAATATCCACTAATTATTATATGAAAATAAAATACAAAAACACAAATATAATTATAGTATAAAATAATAATATTATGACAACATACAGGAACAGTGATTGCAGGCAATCCCAGGAAATTCCCAGATATTTGGTACCGTACTAAAGCAGCTGAAAAATTATCATGCAAACCATTAATTTCATTTTCTCTGTTGAGTCATAATTTTTATCATATTAGCAATTTATAATTTAGAAGTTACCTCCATTTACGTAATCGAGTTCGCCTGTTTTTAGCGCGTCGTCCTCGATCGTGTATGCAGTGACACTAACGAGAAGAAGTTGATTCAGTAAAAACAATACAGAAAATAGTCATCTCTCTCGGGAGAATATGACAAATCTTCGATAAACATAAGAAACGAAGAAAAATTGTACCCAACAGTTGGAGTTACAATGACATCTGCCTTAGAAAATATCTTCTGGTGAAATTTTAGTTGGCGATATCTGAGAAAAATATAAAAAACATAAGCAAATAATAATAATAATAATGACAACAAATACTCGTTGCTGTGAAAAATGGCACCTCATTTTCTGTGCATTCAAATACTCGTTGCTGTGAAAAGAACCGTATATCGAAAGGCCTACTCGGACGTCACATCCCACCTCACCCTTATCCCTGTTGAGTTTTCGCCACTTTCGTAAATCTTCATTTGATTTCGCAATTTAAGGAAAGAACAATACTTACAATTTCTTTAAGTGGGTTCCGATTGAATTACTACATTCTGATCCGATTGTAACATAATGCGACAAGCGCATGACCTCGATTTCCGGTATGGTAAACTTTACAGTCTTCATAAAGGAGCAAGTAGTGAATATTACTTTAGCAAACACATAACCTTAATTAACTTTTCATTTATGAATGACTAGATATTTTTGTGATCGAGTAGAATTCTTACCGTCCATCCATATTCGTCAGATAACTTGGAAACAACGTTAGAACAACAAACTCTGATGTCATCAGTGCAGTCATCAAACCACTGATAGAGTGTACCACAAAAGCAAAAGTAAGCACAATATTATTGAAGTTTATCGACACTTGAGCAGTTAAGTAGTGCCGCTTTATCATATGTTAGTTATTAAAGAATTTGAAAGCCGAAAAACAAAAAAATCACAAACCTTCCCGTATTTTGCCATTTTGATGTTAGAAGACGCATAGTTTGTGAGTTTCAACAGAGACATATCTACCTTTGGCTGATTATCCGACGAAAGGTCCCCAGCAATAGCCGCATAACTAAGAAAATGAAATTTTTCCCATTAATATTTTACAAAAATGTGTTGTATATAATGTTAATGTGGATTAATCAAGTGATGAAAACTTACGCAATGAGCGCATCCTCAACGGTTGCCGCAAGAATCCCAACCATGCCAATTGTATAGTTTACGGGAAGTACTCTGCACTTAATACTATGTTTATTAAACAAAATGCATGTTTTGAAGATTCAGTAGCTATGATTAAAGAAAATATATTTATGAATGATTTGATATTTAAGCAACCAAGTTATAAAACAGAGCAAAACTTGATGCTCATCTCACCCTTCATGTGGCACACGTTCAAAGGTAGGTTTAAAGCCGACCACTCCACAGAGAGCTGCTGGAAGCCTTACAGATCCTAACCAGATCAAACGAAAACAAAAAAAGTACATATATTAACACAAATCTTATCACATTCGTTAATTTATGCTTACGAGAGAAATTTGAGGGAAATGATAATAATCGAACCTCCTCCATCGACACCAAGTGCAATGGGACACAATCCAGCAGCCACCACAGCTGCAGAGCCACTAGAAGATCCTCCCGTAATCTTCCTCTTATCATATGGATTTCTAACCGCCCTTTAGGCAACCCAATACAAATACAACCACAAAATCTAAGCAGTAACAACCTAAATTCAACTTCTTCTACAAATAGTAGAACAAAATAATTAAGAAAAACATATCAATGGTAACCATATTCGCACCCATAATGAGGATTTATCCCGCTAATTCCTGCCCCGAGTTCATGCATGTTTGTTTTGCCTATTATTATGGCACCACACGACCTCAGACGGCTAACACAAAATGCATCCTTTCTACATTCTCTTACTCTCTGCATCCATTTTGTGCCCCCTGCACGAAAACCGAATTACATTAATTAATAAAAACTAAACAAAAAAAAAATAAATGAATCACGAGTGCACTATATAAAATAAACTAACCCGTCGTTGGATAAGGCATGCAGTCGATTTCATCTTAGATGGCTACTGGAACTCCATCCAATACAGAAATTTGTTCTCCTGGAAATAACATTTATTCACACAGAAAACATACATACATACTTATTTTATATCGTTTTTTAACGTAGAGGATTTAGAACTAAAACAAACCTCGTTGATAACGAAGACTGGACTCATTAGCCTGCCTCAGAATATCTTCTTCACAGAAGTTAATGAAAAATGACATTGGGAGCTTCTGACTTGACGACTCATGAACACGAGCGATAAGCCGTTGTGCCACCTGTCGGCCCCCAAAAATGAAGAAATGAAGTACTTGTTAATGAAAAATCTACTTAATTAGTCCTTTTTCGAATTTTGATGTACCAGTGTAGGAGTAGTTTCATGTGAAGCATAGGCCTTTGCATAATCCATAATTGTCTGGTGACGAAAACTCGAAAGTTGTGGAGTTTTAGTTGTATTTTCTGGTGACTCAAGGCAAAACACAACTTGTTGGACTCTTTCTGCTGGGGACATATAATGAAGCTCAGGGCCTTTTACATCTTTTTCCTCAATTTCTATCATAACAACATAGATTAGATAAGCAAAGCTTATAAAGAAATCATTATACCAAGTAACATTATGAAGGCTAGTTATTAACTCTAAGCTTTTTTATGAGTTGACTTGTTTCCAGAATGTTTAAATTATTCTCTTTTCTTTAAGAGTTTGCAAACTTTGCCTTACTAACCTTCATATGGATGTGAAGGAACAAACAATGGTGGCTCTTGTATCTTTGCAAATGAGACAAGCTGCAAAATGAGGCCATCTCTAAGATTAGTAATTCTTCTAATTTTTAGTTTGAAAACAAGATCAAACACCAAATTCAAAAAAGTCAGATGAAAAAAAATGCATTACTGGACATTATTATCTGTTGTTCTCTTACAAAACTATATATAATCTAAAATACCTTTTAGTTTGTAATTTTTAACAATCCCTATTTTCTAAACAATTTTTTTTTTTTTTTGGTACAGAGACTTTCCGGTGTTCGGATCCACAGGGGAACCGACTAATCCGGAATCGAGACGGGTAGGACCACAAGGGGGGCAAAGCTCTTCCTCAGGAGATTTTAACAATTTAGGCATGCTGGAAGTCTTTGATTATTAACTACTTACTAGTAATAAAAAAAAGTCTATTTTAAATTTTAATGTTTTTTTTTTTTAAATATTTTAGTATTATCATTATAATGACACCATCATTCTTAGTGTTCTGTGTGTAGACTGCATTTGGTGTATATCTCCCAACTAGATTCAGTTGGCTCTTTTGTCTATTCGGATAATTATATTTTTCTAGTCTGTACATATGTGTTTTTATCTATGAACTCTATCGTTTTGAATATATATATATATGACTTACTCTATTTATATTATAATATTTATTATAACTTATATCATATGACTAATTTTGTATTAAATTTATTTAATTGATAAGTATTTTTTTACTTAAAATTAATAGAATTATTAATATTTGATATTTTATTTGTGGATATAAATATAATTTCTTATTTATTTTATCATATAATATAGATATCAATCGAAGCTAATAAACAGATGATTGATTTGATATATTATGTATGAAAAATCGATAATAAATACAAAATTTAATTTTTAAAATATATTTACAATTTAAATTTGTAAAGTGTGTTTTAATTTCTCTAGTAAAAAAAGATTGGAAGAAAAAGGAAGATTGAGAAAAAAAGATTTCTTGCCTTATAAACAACGCCCATAATAGAAAATGATGTAAATTACGATTAATGCTCATAAAAACATCATATATATTCAATATATTTATCGATAATTCAAAGCCCTATCTAAGCCAAGTGGTGAAGTATGAAACTTTGCTACGTAAAATTTCGAAGCGTGCGAGTCCTGGCACTTAGGCTCAGCACATTCGTGAATTATATATAAAAGGATTAGTATTACAATTTCTTGATATGAGGTGGCCTAATAGTTAGGTAAGACGAATTTGTTGGAGTATATTGTGGAACTTCAGCTTTGTGTTACTCTCAATTCCATTTTGAATGAGTGTCATGTTTTACGTCAAGTGTATGTTCGTAGTTTATTTATTTATGCCGATATGGTTCTTTCATTTTACATTATAGATATACGGTTTGATGTGTCGAACATAAAGATCATATATTCGGTTTCTTCTAAAATATAAATATTTATTCACAACCCAAATATAATTGAGCTAAGTTCATTAAAGGTCGTATTGTGATTTTTGAGTTAGTTGATCTTCAATTAACGAATTACACTAGTACATCTCAGATGTATTGAATGGACATACAAGACGATAAGATTGTTTGATATAAGTAAATAATCCACACCTTACTAATTATTGCTTTCTCTTAACCAGTAAGACAATAAATGGTCATATGTATTCGGTTATTATTTATTTGATTTATCATGAGTGTGACTTATTCTATTAGGTCAATAGACTCTGTATTTTGGTAAATAATATCGATTACATGATGTCCCCTTGATGACGTCCTCAAGAGCTCAAGAAAGATTATTATTTCAAGTCCGACCGGTGGATTAAATTCCAAAATAATAATAAAGAACTGAGTGGTACTAATTTTAGATCACAAAGTTGATTAATTATATTATCAGTAATTTAATAAATGAATAGATGTTATATCTAAAATACGAGAAGGTAAATCGAGTAATTAGCCGAGAGACGAATGATTTGTAATTCATAAGCTTAATGGTGAGTTCAATAATATTTCTAAGTGGAATAAAATATTTTTCAAGTACAAATTGAGTGGCCTGACCCGCAATTGAATTCATATTGCGGAACCAATATTTAGTACCTCTTTAGCGTCCATGTTGTAGCATGTGAATGCACCAAGTCATATAGCATTAAAAATCATTAATTCTCCCCGAGAGAATTAACGTGAGAAATATTTTATTTTTCTTGAAACTTCGGCCAAAATCAAGAGGTAGAAAGCAGAAACTTGTGTGAGGTTTGGGAGATGCAAAAATTCACCCACCAAGACAACTCAAAGTTGTGATTGGTTATATAGTATAACACACGTAGGTAGTTTGTTCGTATCCTGACAAATATATTTATCCCCGCGAGTCATCGGGCGACCACCGTACGTGACAGTCCCAACCACCGCATGCGGTGGCACCCCGAAGACAACGAGGCGCGCACCACTGCAGTGGCATGCACCAACAACCCGGCGACCAACCCCAACGCATGGCAGCCCAACAATCCGAGCAATAAGACCCGACGATCTTTGGCGACAGCAAACGAGGCAACCCAACGATCCATGGCAGCTGACTCTAAGAGCTCCGGTGACTTAATCTCACAACGCGACGGGTTGATGATAAGTTTGGTGTGAAGAACAACTCAGAACAATTCGTCTGGCCCCGTAGGCCATGTATGTATGTACAGAGTCGACAAAATTTTAAACGGTAATATTCAAATTCGACGGTTAGTTCTGTTACGCGTACGATTCTTTTATTAGATTCTCGATCGATTTATATCATGAGTAGCCGACGTTCTTCACCAAACCCAAAAAACGTTGTCATCCGTGTAAGGTGACGACCACCTATCATGATAGTAGACAGTGGAGGCGGCTCACCACAGTAGGTAGGCGTGCCCAGGAGTAAATCTTCTGGATGCTAGGTGAGGGGGATGTTAGCTTTCGGGATGAGTGGTGGTTTGGTGACGGGTCCTTTCGAGCACATGGCAGGTAACTCACTCCCCTTTCTTGCATTTGAAGGACCTATGAACCGATGAGACGTGGGATAGAGATAGGTTAGAGAGAGTTGGGTACTAGAGCGGGTTCTAGTGACCAGTTATTAGAGTATATCCAGCAGATCCTCATCTCGGAGGACGGTTCAGACTGTATATAGTTGTGACTTACTTATTTTTGTGTATTTTTTACAACCTCGGCTTGGGGGGAAGTACGACTGGATGACCGGCCTAACCTTCTCTTTAGGGCCATTTGGATTGACATGCTAACCCCGACCATCTCTGTCTTCTTTTGGCGCCTTCTTCCGTGCCGGATTCCGATCAACTTTCTGCTGCAGGCAAGGGGAGCTTCCTTCCCCTTCCGATGTTACTATTTTGCAGAGACTGGTGATTTCTTTACTCAGACTTTTTTCCACTTTTTTAGAGAGTAGGGTTGCGAGGAGTGTGTGTAAGCATTTTGCCACCTATACTTATATAAACCCACCCATTACAGACAATTTCTTTGTGCTCTTGAGTTTTTTTTCTCACTATGCACACACTAAGACACATGGGGTTCCTCATTCCTTGTCTGCTCATGTGTTTCATTTGGCCAGAGAGGAATAGTACGAAGCATATGGATTTTACTTTTATGTGCTCTCACATTGTTTTGCAGGTTGATCGACATCTCTCCCTCCTCACGGCTCTGAGCAGACTCACGCCTAAAGACTGGACATGATGCACAGTGCCCCCTTGTTTCGTGTCATCTCCGTTATCGTCTGTCCAGCACCCACGCCCCAAAGCCGTTGTATGGCTGAGACCCGACTCCCCTTGGGTAAAGCTAAACACCGACGAATCATTCGACCAACTCACCGGAGTCGTCGGAGGTAGAGCCTAATTAGGGATCACAATGGAGCTCTAATTATCACCTTCCATGCCATTCTTTAGATCTCCTCGGGCTACGAAAAAAGAGGTTCTGGCGCTCCAATTTAGTCTTCAGATTGCAACCTCTATCTCTACTCACATTTTGATTTAGTTGGATGATGCCGCTGTTGTCACCCTCTTGACCTTGGGCCACCGGGGGTCGTGGCAGATTCAGCACCCGCTCATGCGCATCAAATCCACACTTCAGTCAGTTCACTATCAGATTTCACACATCTTCCGCGAAGGGAACGGACATGCTGACTTCCTGGTCAGCCTCGGCGCCTCCACACCCCATAGGCGCATTTTCCACCCTTACGACGCCCCTCTCCGCCTTCGTGCTCTTGTGCGGATAGACCGAATTAGCTACCCCTCTTTTAGATTTTAATAGCCAGTTTTTATTTTTGTGTTTTGGCCACTTTATGGTGAAGACTATTCGCCTGGGCACCTGTCAGCCTGGGTTTAGACTCTTTGTTTTGGTTGTTGTTTTTCGTTTTTTGTTTAACATGTGTACACTTGTGATTTTTTTGTCTAAGGTCTTGACTATTTACAGGTTGGGGATTAGTCCTTAATCCCCCCACCCTTCCGGGATGTTTTTTCATAAAAAATAAACCTTATCTTGAAAAAAAAATCATGCGTGAACTATTTGCGTACGGTGCAATGCATAGTAGTGTAAAATTGATTGTATGAATTGAAGGGTTCTTAGATCCACTATTATGGCCACATGAATGTATGCTTTTATTGTTCATGTGTGTGTGTTTTTAAAGTCTCGGACATGTCCAAGGTCATTTTTGGCTTGGTTTAACGATTGCAATAATTTAAACGCATGGCGGGAAGCCGTATAGTTTATTTGTTTATTAAATCAATCATGTAAACTCATGTGTGGGTCGTAAGATAAATATCTCGTAATTTTTGTCCTTGTTGTGAAGAGCATAACTTACCGAACAACGAATGATCGAAGACCGAAGTATTCTTGATGAAGTGAACTGACCAAAGGTCTCGGCGATAAAGCATTGTTGTCCGGTAACTGATGCATGTATGGTGACCTGAAGGCATGTGTTTGAAGTCTAGGACTCAGCCAAGCCTTTGGTGATCGGGACAAAGTGACGAACGACAATTTTTGCCGGTGGATATTGACTGATAGCGGCTGCATGCA